GAGCCACACCGGTCAGGTGTGAGAGAGTTCAAACTTTTAATCCAGATAGACTTGGACTTGAATCCCAATTCCTGTCCTCAGATACCCCCATACATACACCCACACATTGTCTGTTCTTTGTCAAGTTACTTATCTTCTCTGAACCATGGGTTCCTCATCAGTAAAATTAGGAAACGAATATCTATTAAGTGTTTATGCATAAACCCAATAGTTAAAAATACTATTTTATGTATTTAAAGATTTGCTAAGAGGGTAGATCTTATGTTGTGTTCTTATAACAACACAAAATAATAATACTAAATAAAAAGAGGAAAACATTGGAAGGAATGAATATGTTTATGGCACAGATTGTGGTGATGTTTTCATGGGTGTATATTTATCCCTAGACTCAAGTTGTATGCATTAAACATGTACAGCTTTTTATATGTTAATCATAACTCAGCATAGTGGTATAAAAATACACTGAATGTTGAATAACAGGCAGTAAATTTAGCATGAGTAATTAGGCAATAAATGGAAGAAAAAATTATTATTATTATTATTTTTCGTAAGGGGATTGTATTCTTACCTAAATGACTTACATTAGTACAGAAAAAAATTGAAAATTCGTTTGAGAAATATATTTACTTTGGAAAATGGTTTGAACCAAATAATTCTACCTAGGACTCTAATCCCATTTCCTTCCATCTCTAGGGATTATACTTAACAAATTAGAAAAGTGAGGCTATTTATGTCCACCTATGACCTGTATTTACTGAGTGATGCTCAGGCTGAAGCAGGTGGTCTGACTTAGGATTTCCTGCCTCACCTAACAAGGCCAGGACTAGACAAACTCTTTGTATGACATAGAAATGGCTCTAACATGGCAGAGCTTTTACTGACCCAAACAGCTGTTTCTGTGTGTTTTCTGGGCTTCCCAGAAGCCATCTGGCTTATAAATATCTCTACCTATATTTCATGAATACCTTTGTACTTGTCACTAACTCTCTAAGTACATCTGAAAGTCTATTCTTTCTATTATTTATTCAAGTTTAAGAACCAATTCTGAATGGATTGGAAGTTGCCCACACATTTTTTTCTTAGAAAATTGTATTTGTCTACTTGTCACTCCACCCACTGAACATTCACATTTGAGAGGTGCTAAATAAGTTGCACATTTGAAATGTCATGCGTGCCTAATTTTAGGCCTGGCAACAATTTTTTTTTTGAGAAAAGTAAACAATATACCGCATTTCAAAAATGTTGCCAAGCCTTATGTTATTGTTATACAGCATACGGAATCTCCATTACAGCAATTTACCTATATAATTTCATAGTAAAATCACATGCTTTTCAGTTCTATGGTATGTAGGAAGGCTGGATGCAAATAATGGTATTTGATCTTTCATAAATATAATTAATGCTCCTAGAAAAATCTGGGTTATATCTTTTGTTTTTCCATGGAATCAACAAAATTATGAGAAAACAGAATTGGAATATATGTATTTAAGAATCACAAAAGCGATAGTATAATTATTACTGAGATCTAAGTAAGAAACTTAACTTTAAATCAAGATCATTATCAAAAACATTGGAACATTTACAAAGATAAGCTTATTTTAGAGAATCACATTTGACATCCCCCTAAATGTGAACTGTTGCCTTGTCAGTGATTAAGTTGCATCATATAAACTTAACTTCATCTTAGGCCTGTCTGTTAGGTAGTATTTATTTTCCTATCAATATTAACTCCTTTCTAACGTACTGATGGTTTGTTCCCCTGTTAGTTCATTCTACCACTTTCTTTCATTAATTCAGGAATTATCAGAATACCATTTAGAAGTATTGCTTTGCTCACTATTCCCCACCTCCAAAGTGTGCCTCTGCCTGGAAATGGGTGCATCACCACCCAGATAGTCAGGCAAATAAGTCAGGAATCATCCTTAATATTTTCCTTTCCTTCTCCCCGAGAATCAGTACACAGCAAAGTCCTGTCAGTTTCATCGACAAATAAATCCCAATCCTTCCTCTCTCTCCCTCTCCTCCACCCCCCCACCCCACTCCCTACTCAGGGCCACCATCACCTTTCTCATCAGGCTAATACAATAGCCTCCAGAATCCTCCTCTCCCACCCCACCCCAGGCTCTGTCCACAACCACTCTGCCCCACAGAGAACCTGATCTTTTAAACACACACATCAAAGCTCAGCTTAGAGCACTCAGCTTCCTGCTTCTTGAATTCAAAGAGGCCAAGCTTAACCCCTCCTCAGCTGTTCCCACCCAGCCTGGGCCTGGAGGCCTCTCCCCACATTTTCCAGCCTCACACATCTCAGTTTGCTTTGCTCCCCCCACTCACTGTTACGTTATCTCTTCATGACACGTAACATGATTTGAGATTTTTTTTTAAATTAATAAACTTAATTTTTAGGTTTACAGTTTTAGATTTACAGAAAAATTGAACAAAGAGTATAGAGTTCCCCTTATTTCTTCTCCCCTGCCTCCCTAAACAATGTCCCCTATCACTAACATCTTGCATTAGAGTGGTATATCTGTTACAGTTGCTGAGCCAATATTGATAGAATTAACCAAAGTCTATAGTCTAGATTAAGGTCACTCATACTGTTGTACATTCTATGGATTTTGACAAATCCATAAAGTCATATACGGGGGGGGGGGGGGGGGGGCAAAAGTAAACTAATAATAATAATAAATAATACAGTAATTAATAATACAAGAATAAACTCTGTGTTTCTTGCACTCACATCTGTAAGCCTACTTTTGCCAATCCTTGTATTCACTATTATAATATACAGGATAGCTTCACTGACCTAAAAATTTGCTTCACCTATTCACTCTACCCCACCCAACCTCTGGCAGCCACTGATCTTTATATTGTCTCTAGAGATTTGCCTTACAGAATGTCATATACCCGGAATCATACAATATGTTCACTATTTGATTTTTAAAATATTAATTATTTTTCAAAAAATCCCTCATGAGAACAGAGACCGCCTCTGTCTTGTTCTTTCCTTTGCCCTCAGTACCAACAACAGACCCTCAGTGGATCCTCTGTAGGACTTTGTGGATTGAATGAATGGATGAATCTACCCACCAACCCCATAAAGTGCAACCACCTACACTTTTGAAATACTCTTTTCTTGAATTGCTCTGGTAACCTTGGAGCAGACTTATCCAGGTTTCAGACTTTTCCACTGATGCTTCGCAGATATTAGGAAAAGAAGAGTTGCTCCCCGGCCCCACGTGGTTGAGGGTGTGACTGCTCTGGGACCTTTTGCCACCCGAGACCAATATCTCACAGAGGGATTTTCCCAGTCATTTTAGACTCATGGGTGCCCCTTGGGTTAGAAATGCAGACTCTTACATATTAATGGCAAGCTCTGCTCTGGCTCCCTCATCCTCTCATACTCACAGGCTGATCATGGATCTGCTTCCTCACTTACCTCCCTTTAACCTTGCCTTTGCTCTTCCGAATCTTACCGTTTACCCCTAAACAATTTCCATTTTTCTCACTCTTTACCCCTTCTATCTTCCGTCCTCACATCAGTGAAGGAGAAACACATACTAATGTGACTGACAAGAGCGAGCACGCCATTGGAGATGTCCTGTGCTAAGAAAACGAAGAGCCAGATGTTTTAAAGTACAATGAACTCTAACCAGAAACCATACCTTCTAAACCACTGGGAACCGCCCAGAGGTCTCCGCCACAATTTCCATAACCTCCAACCTTCTCTCGTTAAAATGCTTTCCCCTTAACCTCTACCATTAATAGATACAAATCAATTTCCTCACTCAATTCTTAAACAATTCTTTTGTTTATTGGGCCACAATTTGTAGAAATCTTGTTTAATGCCTGGCCCATAGGAGGTCCCTCCGAATTTATTAGGATGGAAGCTTTAGGGTGTTTTTACTACTTCCTATATTTAGATTCAAGGAAATATGCTTATCATCACCTTAGTCAAGGCCTTAATTGTTTTATAGCCCTCAAGTTTGGACCTACTCAGACTCTGTCTTTTCAAACAGCCCTAATCTGTCTAACATAAACCCTTTCCCAGCAGGGGGAGCACAAATGAGGGAACAAAATCCAATAGAACACTGGCAGCACTGATGATTGCAGAAAGAATAAATAGCAGGATGTCTTTTGGGGGGTATTTGAAATGTAAGAAAGGAATGTTTTTAAAAATATGCAAGATTAAAAAGAATGCAGCACACAGATAAAAGTTACTAAAACCCATTTGTAAACTTCAAATATTTTGTTACATCACAGTATTTTGAAAGAATAAGAAATTCCGTTTCTATTTGAAGGTAACTGTTAACTCATTCAATACCAAAGAGCATTGCCTAGCTTAATGAGTTTAGATTTACTTGGGGTTCTATTGTTTTTAAAATTAGAGATATACCTTTAAAGGCTTGACACTCATAATTTGTAATTTAAAGAGCTATTTGCAGTTAGTTATTTATAGTGTTCATTCACCTAAAAACATTAGTTGGTAGTGAATTGTGCAGCCTTTGGGTCTATAATATCTTTTCATGCCTGGAATTTCATAAAATGCTTTCAGGACCCTTTTAAAAAGAAGTTAGTTAATCAAATACTTTTTAATGAGTAAGCTTGCCTCTAAGACATATTTCTTTTAAAAAGTGTTCCATAAAAGTGATATAAACGAAGAAGTAAAGTAAGCCCCAAGTGTGCCCGTGGGACTTGAATGGCTTTGAGGGCTTTGGTGACCCCGGGGGAACCACTTTCTAAAGCTTCATTCTCAGCGTTGATCAAGTTACTAAAAGCCTAGTGCAATCCCAGCTCCATTCTGCAGGTCAGAATCCACAATTGCGTAGGTTTCCTTTAGCTATCACTCCGCTGTCAGGTATGAAATCCCCCAATTTAGCAGGGTCGCAGTCTTGCTTCTGTTGCCGGTCTTTTCAGTATTCATTTGAATGGCAAATGTCTCCAATAATATTAAGCAGTGGGCTCAGCAAAGGATAAGATAGATAAAGAAGCACACTTACCATCAAGCATGTTACTATCATAACAAAGATGCTGAGAAATATGACAACGGCATAAAATCCTTCTTTGCTCCAGATTTTGTCCGCTTCATGCTGCCCTTGCAGAACATTTTTCTTTAAAAGCAAAACAGAAAGTCCGGCGTTAGATGAGAGCTGGAGGAGACTGGCGTTCTTATCAGACACTACACATATTTTTAGCTTTCTCCCATTCAGTGTAGTAGCACACACCTACATTCCGCGCTGCCAGCGCTGCTCCTCCAACTGCTCCGAGACAAGGCACTGCCCCCTCAAAGAGATTATTTCATCTCCTGCCCAGGAGCAGACAGGCCCCGCATGCCAGGCCCGGTCCCAGCTTCGTAAATGTCCCTCCCATCTCTCTTGGAAATGACCTGGTTCATAGGTAAGAGAGTTCCGTTCTGTTCTGCGTGGAGGAAATTGTTTCTGAAGCTTTCTTGACTCTGTGTGAAGTCCCCTCCCACAACACCACCCTGGTTTACGTGCTGTAATACAGCTCTTAACTTTTCAACAAAAGTGAAACAGGTGCAAACAAAATCTCATAATGCATTAATCAACAGAGCAACGATGTCAGAATCATTTCCTTCTCCTTTTTCCTCCTCTGTTATCAAATCTTTTCATTTTTTAAAAATGCAGTCTTATTTGTCAAAATCTGATTAAAGTACCAACCTCAACTACATAAATTGTTAGAATATTACATTTTATTTAAGCATCAGGGAACACCAAAAAAAGTCCAGAATTATTTAGTAATAAAAGGTGAAATAAATAGTTTTATTTTTATTTATACTTTTTTTGTTTACTACTTTGGGAGTGGAAAAGCATGAATAAAATGTGAATGAGTGAAATTTTATTTCACCTACTCTTTTTTTTTTAAAGCATATCTACTAAATCAAGTTTTAGAATGTAATTAGTTTTATGATTCAGTGAAATTTATAGATTTATAGTTAAACTTCAACCTGAAACCAAATGGTCCACAATTAGGAAAGACAAAGGTGGCTGAGCCCTAACTGGGTTGGCTCAGTGGATAGAGCATCGGCCTATGGACTGAAGGGTCCCGGGTTTGATTCCAGTCAAGGGCATATACCTTGGTTGTGGGCACATCCTCAGTAGGGGGTGTGCAGGAAGCAGCTGATCAATGTTTTTAACTCTCTATCCCTCTCCCTTCCTCTCTGTAAAAAATCAATAAATTATATTAAACACACACACACACACACACACACACACACACACAAAACAAAGACAGCTGAATCAAGTAAAATGTTTCCACATTGCTGAAGGTTGCCTTTCCCCCCTTTTGTGAGAGTATGTCTGTCCCGGGATATTTACTCCAATGATTAAGAAAGTCTTGAACAAGGACATATTTAATGATGGAAAGCCATGTGGAGAAAGGGCCTGGAAAGTGAGAGGTCATCTTGGACATTTCAGCGGCAAATGAATTCCCAGCTTAATGTAACCACTGGGGTGACTCCAGTGGAACAGATTAACCTAGCTGATCCTCGTCCATCCACAGAATCATGAGAAATAAATAGTAGTCATCACACACACAAAAAAGAAAGCCTTGAATAAAACCTGTTCTTGTGTCTGAACTTAGAAATCATTGCTAATTACCTTTGCGGCATTAAAAAAAAAAAAGAAAGAAAGAAAGAATTCTTTCGCCCTAACTGATTTGGCTCAACGGATAGAGCGTCAGCCTGTGGACTCAAAGGGTCCCAGGTTCGATTCCTGTCAAGGGCATGTACCTTGGTTGAGTAGTCATCACACACACAAAAAAGAAAGCCTTGAATAAAACCTGTTCTTGTGTCTGAACTTAGAAATCATTGCTAATTACCTTTGCGGCATTAAAAAAAAAGAAAGAAAGAATACTTTCACCATTTGTAAATTAGACAAAATGAAACATTTGCCTTGAAAAACGTTTTATGAAAACTTTTATTCTGGAACTCAATGAGTGGGGAGTTGAATAAGACAGCACAGAGAGGGTCTGTTAAATTAAATTAGTTAAATTGTGATTAAAAACAATTCGAGGGAGTCTTTTATTGCTTGAAATAGTTGAGTTTCCATTTCCTTTGCTTGTAAAACATTGATGTACTCACCATACCATCTTTCTAAGGCACAGACAAATTTGTGGATATAAGAAATGATTTTGAGATACATTTTTAAAATATGTAAATAGTAAGTGGATGGAGAATCTGAAAGTACTTGATGAAATGATTGGAAACCAAGTATCTTTCTGGACAGGAAATCTTGGGTTCAGATGACAACTCATCTTTTACTCTTTAACCTCATCCAGATATATTTTATTCCAATGTGTTCCTAAACATAGCTGGTAACTAATAAAAAAAAAACAACACTCCTGAAGAAATCAGGTATAAATATGTCAATGAGCTTTTTTGTTTTGTTTTGTTTTTTGTGCAGGCAACTAAATAGCATCTATTGCTTGCTATAAAAGCCAACTAGTGAAGCCTTTAAGTAGGCAGCATAAACCTGTCAAATTTAAGTATCAGGATGTGAGCTTTAGTTAATGTAAAATGTGGATCAAAAGGGGTGGTTAGGTGGGTGGTAAGAGATTCTGTGTTCCTAACCTGATCTGCTTCATTTCTTCTCTTCCTGCTGTAGTTATACACCTCCTGGAATAACAACATGTTCCTTTCCGTGTAAGACATATCTGTTTTGTTTTTCTTTTACCTAAAGCAGCGATGATGGAAGAATTAACCTCCCTCCCCCACTCTCCCACCCCCAGTTAGAAAGACACATGTTTTGTACTCCCAGAACTTAGTCACTGCACTTTCTTGGTAAATAGATTTCCTTCTGAGTCATGCTATTCCTGTGAGCACTACTATATTTGTACAGAGATCTAAAAGACTTGATAAGGGCAGGGTAATAAATGGAAAAGTTTGTCGTTAACATTCCACAAATCAAAAGAAGATAATTCATAAGACTCTCCCATCTAACCTTTGCATGAGGTTGAAATGATGCCTTTTATATTTTGTCAGGAGACTGGAGGTTCAATAGTTCAGAGACTCCATGGCCGGGTCAAGCCAATGCCGTTGTCTCACCTTTACATCTTATTTCAGATATTCTAATAATATTTCCCCTTTAACTATGTTGCATTGAAAGTTGTTGGGTTTTGTTTTGTCTTATGGTTTAAAAATTGGGCATGTTCCTGTATCACTATATCAATGAGAATGGCTTCTCTATATCCCATTTAATAATTTGATGCACTATAGTTTTCTTGTTTGTTTGTTTTTTAAACCCATTCTGATCCCAGATGGTGGAAGAGATTCCCAAATGCTAGGAGATATAATATAGAGCATCGGTTCTCAACCTGTGGGTTGCGACCCCTTTGGGGGTCGAACAACCCTTTCGCAGGGGTCGCCTAAGACCACTGGAAAACACATATATAATTACATATTGTTTTTGTGATTAATCACTCTGCTTTAATTATGTTCAATTTGTAACAATGGAATTGGGGATCACCACAACATGAGGAACTGTATTAAAGGGTCGCAGCATTAGGAAGGTTGAGAACCACTGATATAGAGGCTTTAGGTCACAGGGGTGGGGAACCTTTTTTCTGCCAAGGGTCATTTGGATATTTTAACATCATTCAAGGGCCATACAAAATTATCAACTTCACAATCAGCCTGCTATATTTGGTCAAACATTTCATTAACCCACCCCTAATGCCATGGCAGGGCCAGAACAAATGATTTCGAGGGCCTTATACAGCCCGGGGGCCGGATGTTCCCTGCCCCTACGTAGGAGACATGGCTATTTAGGACAGATGAGCGCATAGAATGAGAACGGAGTAGAAATATTATAAGTTACCTGGTTAATTGATTGACTTGGGCAGATAAATGAGATGCAGCCTACAGTAATGTGGTGGTACAGGACACACTTCCACTGTGCAATACCCAGGGTGAGCAGTTCGGTCTGAATGGTCTAACATATGTTAACATTGTTTTCCTCCTCAGCACTGTATGGCTGGGACTGTAATGCTTTAGACTGTTGGCTAATGTTCCTAGTTCGAGGGAACAGAGGAGACATGGCTATTTAGGACAGATGAGTGCATAGAATGAGAACGGAGTAGAAATAGTATAAGTTACCTGGTTAATTGATTGACTTGGGCAGATAAATGAGATGCAGCCTACAGTAATGTGGTGGTACAGGACGCACTTCCACACCTGGTTAATTGATTGACTTGGGCAGATAAATGAGATGCAGCCTACAGTAATGTGGTGGTACAGGACACACTTCCACTGTGCAATACCCAGGGTGAGCAGTTCGGTCTGAATGGTCTAACATATGTTAACATTGTTTTCCTCCTCAGCACTGTATGGCTGGGACTGTAATGCTTTAGACTGTTGGCTAATGTTCCTAGTTCGAGGGAACAATCACCAAACTCCCAGATTATGGCGTATGTTCATTTGATATGATTTTTTTCTCTTTGTAAATATTCCATGGAAGTATCAGTTGACACACTGGCCTGTTATTTAATGAAGGTAACTTCCTCCTTTGCAATATGAGACCTGTAAATCTGGAGTAATTTGCGACCGAACAAAAACAACCGAATCCTAAGTCATTTTTAGTGTTTATGCAAAACTTATTATTTCAATGGATATTTACAAAAACTTTTAAAAATGGAAACTAAAATAATGAATTTAATTTTATTTTTCTGAGATTTGACTTATTAGGTACGAAGTCTAGTTTTATCTTTATGAGCATCTTAAAATAATATTTGTGTGCTAACAATGTTCTAGGTACTGTATAAAAATATTTTTTTAAAAAATGCCCCCCCCCCAAAAAAAAACCAGACAATAAACAAAAGTAATTCTCTACTTGGTATTTTTCTTTCTGTCCCAAGAGTTTTTTCTGATAAAAAAAGTCAAGCAAATAAAGAAATGGCCACAACAAAAAGCACATCCTTCCCTGAAAGAAGCTAATATAAGTTTAGGAATAGATGCTTTGAGACATGATTCACAATGTTCTGTGACCCATGCAAAGGATGAAAAACCAAAAAAACAATATTCATTTTTTTTCTCTTAATAAACATGCTCCCATGGCAGAGCTATAATTTTAGGATAAAAATGTGGAAGAATGGGTTGAGGCATAAACTGTCATCACACAGTAACCACAGCGATGAATAAAGAAGCGGGGAAACTCTTTATTGCGAATAGCTTGAACAACTATTCACAAATGCTTTGGCAGTGGTCCTCTGGACTGTTCATGTCTGAAGCCCCCCATGAGGTCACTAGCTCCCATTTCTGCATTTACGGCTTCAGGTCAGAGGGTAATGCTGGGCCCCTTTTAAAAGTACCTGCAAAAGGCTCAATCAATTCATCTGTCCTTGATGAAATGCTCCTGATAGCCGATTAAAATACGTTCGAGCCTCCTGTAACATAATATTTCTGAGGGTCTAGCTTTCCTAGATTTCTAGATTCCCACAGTTTCACCAGAAAATATTAAGTTTTGACCATCAAATACACTTTCACTATTAAAGTACAGACTGTGGTCTTGTGGGCTAATAGTACTGTGATGAGAGTCAGGCTAAGCCCTTCACCTTTCACCGAGCTGGGGGCTGTTGGAAGACCCTCAAGTGTGTACTTGATATTAACTAGATTTTTGAAGGGTGAGCTTCTCTTGGTTCACAAATCTGGATGACTCACTAAGCTGCCATATTCTTACAGCATTAAGAATAGTATTTAAACTCAGATTAAAGCAACAGGGAAGAATGCTTATGTAAGCCACTGAAAGCTTACAGGAAGCAGAATAAAGTAATCCAAAGGTCTTTTTAAATTCTAAAGAACAGTCCTGGGAAAAATGTGTGCAAGTCAGTCTGTGAAGGACCTGGACATATAGGTTGGGGTTTATTCATTTATTTTCTGACTTTGGATACCAGCAGCACAATGTTTGGCTACTTCTGTGCTGAATGAAGACACCAAGGACACAGATGAAATGACATGGCATGTCTCTTGAGGAACCTGTAGTGTAGAGATGGACTTGAAGACCAAGAGAGGATAAGGAGTTTTTATACTAAGCTCAAGGAGAACACAAACCAATGAGCATTCACATCTAGGGAAGGCTTCGCTCTGTAGTAGACTGATCTTGATACATGAAAGGTGTGTAGAAGGATCAACGTATGCAAAGCATGGAGGGAAGAGAAATATGGAGGTGTCATGGTACCTATTAAGTTTGGAATTGCCAAAGCAAAAACTAGGAGAGTGTTGTTGAACAGTTTATAAAGCCTAGCACACAAAGGATCATAGATCATATTGAGAAATGCATGCTTCATTCCGTAATATTTAGGAGGCCAAAGAGAACCATGACATTAGGAGGGCATGGCCAGATTTATTTTAGAAAGATTACTCTGGTGCCAAGAGAGAAAACACACTGTGTGTGTGTGTGTGTGTGTGTGTGTGTAGGGCAGGGATCAGGGTGACACTAAATGCCGAAAGACCAATTCAATGATGAACATACATTTTCATTCTGCCAATCAATCCTGCATTCAAATATGTGTTCAGTGTCTCCTGTATAGGAGGATTTCCACAAATGTTTTAAAAATTAATTCATATTCTAAGTAGATAAAATAAGGACTATACCCATTTTTTTCTATACCCATTTTGGATATGAAGAAACTGAGCCTCAAAGAGGCTGACACCACACAAAGACTTAATCTCACAGAAATTAAATCACCTGCCCAGGGTCACACACACACATCTTAAGTGGTTTTTGGGTTTCAATCCTGTATCAAAGCCTTTAAAAAATATGTTTTTTATTGATTTTTATTTTAGAGAGAGAAGAAGGGAGAGGGAGGGAGAGAAACATAGATCGGCTGCCTCCTGCTCACCCCCTACTAAAAATTGAGCCCGCAACCTGGGCATGTGCCCTGACAAGGAACTGAAGGAGTGAACTTTTGGTGCATGGGAGGCTCAACCAACTGAGCCATACCAGCCAGGGCTTACACCAAAGCCTTTTATTCCACACCTGTGATATTTGCTGAAATGAGAGGCAATAAGCTTTACTGAAAAGTGGGATTAGACTAAGAATCAAGATGTCTAGATTTTTAAAATATATTTTTATTTATTAAATATATTTTTATTAGAGGAAGGAAGAGGGAGAGATAGAAACATCAATGATAGAATCATTGATCTGCTGCCTCCTGCACACCCCTACTGGGGATGGAGGCTGCAACTTGGGCATGTGCCCTTGACCAGAATCAAACCTGGGACCCTTCAGTCTCCAGGCTGACACTCTACCCACTGAGCCAAACCAGCTAGGGTCTGACTGCAGATTTTTAGATGAACTCTTCCATGCAACAACATACCTCAGGGGAAACTTCTGTGATTCCAAATTGGGATAAACTTTGATGCAAAACATTGGTATTAAGTGAACGCAGCACTTCCTCAGCTGGCAGGGCGTCGGAGATGCCTCCTTTTCGGTTTATGGGAGACACGAAGAGTTCCACACTGTTTTTCTTTCCCTAGTAAAAGCAGGTTATTTGTACATGTTAATAGACATTTTCAAACATCTTTGGGAAGTACTTTTACCTCCTCTAGAAACACCACAGAAAGCTGGAACCCTAGAATCTTAAAAGGCATCATGGAGATTACATTTATTAGTTATTCTCGGGTACACTTAAGACTACCAGTCCAGAGCCCAAAGTCTTCAAGTGGCCTTCTTTCAAGTAATTGACACCTCAAGATTTGTAATTTTATATTTCATTGGATGCTGGTTTATTTTCCATTCCATATTGTAATTAAATATTTTCCTACACCACTATTTATGCCCCCTAAGCCCTCCTCCACCTCCACCTCCACCTCCACCTCCACCTCCACCCACCTTCCTCTCCCCTCCACACTCACCACACCATTGTCCATGAGTTCTTTCTTTCTGTTTTTCCTTTGTTGCTCAATCCCTCCATGCCCCCTGCCTCCCCATGCCCATCCCCAGAGCTCTCAGACTGCCCTCTATTTATGAGTCTCTCTATTTTCTTTGTTTTGAAATATACTGTTCAGATGTTCCCTGAGTAATTGTGTTTAAAGAAGCATTATAAAATCAAATGAATGAAAGAAAGCCTAATGCAATAGTACAGTTATTAGACATTGCCACTCCATTTTTTTCTTATAACTTGTATTTCTGGAAGGCTGGAATCACTAAGGAAGGTGATGTTACATGAACTTTGAAGTTGCTTCCCTGATTCTGTTCTTCACCTCAAACGTCACACTTTTAAAGTCTATCCCTTGGGTAGAAATGCAGGATACTTTCCTATTAGTATTGCCCCATTAGCTGAAATGCAGAGAGAGGATTTTTTTTCTACCATAAATGGCAGATAGGACACATAAAAAATAAACACACCACGGAAATCTATCAGAGTCTCTTTAAAAGTTATATATACCACGTACTTATGGACGGAATTATTGCTAGTCTTTCCTTTTTGACATGGAGTTCTCTCATGTTAGAAAATTTTCCTTTCATGCCACTTACCAGAAGTTCAGCCAGGTATAAAATACTACCAGCAATCCAGAAAACAAAACACATTTCCGTGTTTGCAGGGGACAACAGACAATGACTAAGTATAGCATAATACTGATGTCCAACGTGTTTATAATAATTTAAATAGTTTATGACCTAATAACAACAGTAGCGAGACTAGAGCACTTGTTTTCTGCCTGACACACTCTTATGTACCTTAAATCTGTTATCTCATTTAATGCTCAAAACCCCTCCAGGACAAAGGTGTTATAGTTCTCTCCATTTTGCAATTGAAGACACATAAGTAGGTTGCCTGCGGTCATACAGCTGGGAGATGGCCGAGCTGGAAATGGGGTATGGTTATGTCTCCAAAGTAGATGCTCTTCATCACCATGCTCTGCTGCCTTGGGTATCACCATAACTCTACCCATTATAATAACTGCTCCTAGAAACAGGTGTGATAAATGCCACCAACATTCTCCGGGGATATGCGTGTTCCTGCCTTTTTACCCCTGCAAAGAGCTATATATATATATATGGTCTAGAGCTAAGACATCTATAGTACCTACATCTCTATGTCTTCTCATTAAAATAAGATACTTTGGATATAAAACCCATTTCCCTCTTTCAGGGCACTAGGAAATATTGTATTTCCTCTTCTATGGTACTGAGCTAAAAATTTTGGTTTTTAAGTGTATTTGATCCCAGAAAAATAGTTGACTTAGAGAATAAAGTCATTATGGGGAATGAAACAACCCTCATCCCTCCACACACACACATAACAAGGAAAAGAAACAAAATCCCTAAACCAAAGTAAAAAGCAAATTCTTCTCCGTAGCTGGACACGAGGATGTTGATTCAGTAGAAAGCTGAGCTTCAGCAGGAGAATCAGAATGTAAGGCAAGGGGACCGTGCGGCCCTGGCTTGAGTTCCCACTGCAGTGGAAATTAAGAACAATTGTAAAACTGCAAGATGATTCCAAAGTCCCTTTTCACAGTAACTTTGGATAATTAGCTTTTTACAAAGAGAAAGTCATCCGTTTTGAATTTGCCTTTCTCTGCCTTTGCTCATGCCTGCCTTCAGGTGCAGATGGGAACAAGTGGTGGGATGACATCAAGGTTCCCAAACACTGAGAAAAGCGGGGAAGGAAGGATGTGGGTGATTGATTGATAGATGGGTCTAAAGTGGGCTCTATTCATAAATCCCTCTGGGTTTGCCTCATTCCCACCCCACATACCTATCCAAGTTTTCTCCAGGCTTTTCAGAACCATCTATTCTTGCATTCCATTTGGAGTGCTGTCCTCAAGGATTGGTTTTCCTTTATTTTTAACCAAAATCCTGTCTGTGCATTCAGTATCTTCATCCTATTGCTATCCTTGCAGGGGTTTTCATAGATGCCGCATGGAGACAATGTTTTAACTGATGCAGAAGGCTTAACTTTTAAAAAGAATGTTTTGGGTGTATGTCATGTTGGTGAGACTAGTATGTTGGGCCCCTCTATTCATACCTACCGGGGTACAAGCCTTGAACTATGAAAGGGTTGATAAACTTTTTCTGTCAAGGGCCAGAGAGTAAGTATTTTAACCTTCGATTTAGCCAAACAATTGGTTAGAATGACTCAGCTCTGTCACTGTAACATGAAAGTAGTCATAGTCAATATGTAAACAAGTGACTGTGGCTTATTGCAATAAAACTTTCTTTACCCAAACCACTGGTATGCTAGATTTGGCTCAGGGGCCATAGAACTATAGAATGGGTGTTTAAATTATTGTTCTTTATTATTGAGACCTTCAAAAAAAGATCAAAGCCTGTTCTGAAAATATGAAATGGAGGCATCTTACAATGAGGCGATTGATGTGCACTTGCTGGGGTAAGAGTCCTAACGCAGCCGCCACTCCCTGGCGGAATATTCGGAGCAAGGTTATGTTCAGCTTGTTGACATCCATTTGCAGTGTCTGGGGGGGAAAAAAAGAAATTCAAATTATAGTTAAATGTTTGGTTCAGGATATTCAGTTCCTGACTGATGACTGACTAGAACAATTTCTGTGACGTTGATAAATTTACACTCATGGTGCTTTGTTGCATTTTTAATGGAGATAACATTATAGGGATATTTTATGTGAAATTGTAAATGGTGTCAGTTAAAAAGATGGTCCACTGTATAATAATGCAATTTGTCTAGTTACAATCAATAAGGTATACCCATGATCAATTCATAAAGAGTTTCACTCAAATGTATGTTGGTTTAGCTTGATTTCAATCCCAGTTTACAGAATGGAGTATGGGGCCAGGTGTGTTTCAGCAATCCAAGCTGAAGGACAGCTTTAATTTGTGTTCACACACAGTCCCAGGCAAGAAGATGCTGTGTCAGTCCCATAACACCAGACTTGGCAGTTTCTCTATATAGTGATTGGATGCCAATGCAAGGCAAAGAATGAGGTGCAATAACGCATTTAGAAACTCTGGTAAAGAAATCAATGGTACTGATGATTTGACAATTCTTATTCAGCTGTTTGGGCAAACACTCTTAATTTTTAAGTTGTTTTGGAAAAAGATAACTAAACATTTAAAAATTCCTAAAATACAAACAAGTTATAAAATTAATAATATAGCCTTTATTTAAGTCATGGGTGCCATTCATACACTTAAACCATAAATTATTATTTTAAAAATGCATCATAATCATTTGAGATATCACATAAGATGGGGAAAACAAATTTTTATGCATTTAATCTATAATAATAAAAGCATAATATGCTAATTAGACCAGACGTCCTTCCAGACGACCTTCTGGACGAAGCCAGGGCTGAGAGGGAAGCCTGGGTCCTGGGTGCCACAGGAAGCCAGTGTCAGCAGCCGAGGGAAGGAAGGCCTACTCTTGCACAAGTTTCGTGCATCTGGCCTCTAGTACATATATATTTGATAAGATTTTTTTACCCCCTTCACCTTTCTTCCATCCTCTACCCTGTTTCTGCCTGTTTCAATGAGCTTTATTTTTTATACTTCACATAAAAGAGAAATCATTTAGTATTTGTCTTTGTCTGTCTAGACTTATTTCACCTAGCATAATGAATGCCCTTGAGGTCCATCCATATTGGAGCAAATGGCAAAGTTTCATTTTTTGTGTGACTGAATATTATTCTATTATATGTAGATGTAGATATAGATAGATATAGATATCACCAATTCTTTATACATTTATCCATCAACAGACTCTTAGATTGTTTCCATATCTTGGCAGCTGTAAGCAATGCTGCAATGAACATGGAGTGCATATACCTTTCCAATTTAGTTTTTTCATTTTCGTCAGATAAATACCCAGAGGTGGAATTGCTGGATCATATGCTGGTTCTATTTTTAAAATTTTGAGGCATCTCCATACTGTTTTCCATAGTGGCTACCCCAACTGACTTTCCTACCAAGAGTGCTCAAGGGTTCCCTTTTCTCCCCACCTTCACCAACACTTGTGATTTCTTGTCTTTTTTTATAATAGCCATTCTAACATGTGTTAGGTGATATCCCATTGTGATTTTGATTTGCATTTCCTTTATGATTAATGATGTTGATCATCTTTTCATGTACCTGTTCTCCATCTTTGGGAAAATGTCTGTTCGTATCTTCTGCCCATTTTTAAATTGGATTTTTTTGGTTACTGAGTTGTATGAGTTCTTTGAATTTTGGATATTAACCTCTTATCAGATAAATAATTTGCAAATATTTTCTCCCATTCAGTAGGTTGCCTTTTTATTTTGTCAACTGCTTGCTTTGCTGTGCAGAATATTTTTAGTTTGATGTAGTCCCACTTGTTTATTTTTACTTTTGTTTTGTTTTAAGTTTTGGTGCCAAATTAAAAATATAATTGCCAAGGTCTACGTCAAAGAGTTAACCACATGTTGTCTTCTAAGAGTTTTATGCTTTCAGATATTATCTTCTATTCTTTAATCCATTTTTCAGTTAACTTTTGCATATGGTATAACATAATGATCCCAATTCATATTTTTCTATGTGGTTGTTCAGTTTTCCCAACACTATTTATTGAAGAGACTTTCCTTTCCCCATTGTATATTCTTGGCTTCTTTGCCATAAATTATCTGTGGGTTTATTTCTGGACTCTCCGTTCTTTTCCATTGAGTTATGTGTCTGTTTTTATGCCAAAACCATGCTGTTTTAATTACTATAGCTTTGTAATAGAATATGAAATTAGGGGTTGTGATACCTCCCTGATTGTTCTTCTTTATCAACATTGCTTTGGCTATTCAGTGTCCTTTGTGGTTCCATATAACTTTTTGGAGTTTTTATTCTATTTCTGTGAAAAATGACATTGGAAGTTTGATAAAGATTGCATTGAATCTGTAGATTGCTTTAGGCAGTATGGAAATTTTAACAATGTTAATTTTTCCAACACATGAGCACAAAATACCTTTCAATTTTTTGTGTGCATCTTCTTAAATTTCTTTACTTACTATCTTACAGTTTTCAGCATCTATGTCTGTACCTCTTTGGTTAAATTTATTCCCAGGTATTTTTTTAATGAAATTATAAACAGAATTTTTTTTTCTTAATTTCAATATCATATAGTTCATTATTAGTGTATAAAAATGCAACAGACTTTTTTGTATTGATTTTGTAACCTACAACATTATTGAATTAATTTATTAATTTTTAACAGTTTTTTGATAGAGTCTTTAGGGTTTTCTATATATAATATCATGTAATCTGTAAATAGTGACAGTTTTACTTTTTATCCAATTTAGATGCCCATTATTTTTTATTTTTTTCTTGCCCAATTGATCTGGCTAGGACTTCCATTATCATGTTGAATAAAAGTAGTGAGAGTGAGCATCCTAACCTTGTTCCTGATCTTAGAAGAGCTTTCTCTGTTTTTCATCATCTCTTCCAGTATATATAAAAGCCTAAGCGACTGTTAAGACGGAACAACCAGAATGACTGGAACAACCGGTTGCTATGATGCGCACTGACCACCAGGGGGCAGAAGGTCAATGCAGAGCTGCTCCCAGCCCACAGGCCCCGATCGCCAATGGGGCCTACTGGCCAGCCTTCTGGTCCCCCTGGCCAGCAGGCCCTGATTGTGGCTGGGTCCTGGGGCTGGGACGGTGAACCAGGGGTTGGTGTTCGCAGATGCAGCCCCTTTCCCAGGGGGGCCGAGGGCCGGCTCCCTCCTTGGGGCTGGCAGCCAACCTCCTGGGTCCCTCCCCTTATTCTTCCCCTGGCCGGCAGGCCCCGATCAGCCCACTGCCCACCCACCTTGGTGGTGGTTGTCCCCTCCCCCAGGCTGGCAGGTCCCGATTGCCCGATCGGGGCCAGGCCTGGGCTGGGACAGGGAACCGGCAGCAGACGCGGCAAGGAGGAGGGGGAAGGTGGGGAATCATGAGGCGGTGGCAAGGGAAGGAGGAGGCAGGGAGGCGGGGAACCTGATTGGCTCTGATCACAGGCCAGGCCTAGGGACCTCACCTGTGCATGAATTTCATACACTGGGCCTCTAGTTGAATATAATGTTACTTGTGGATCTGTCATATATGACCTTTATTATGCTGAGGTATGTTCCCTCTAAACCCTCTTTGTTGAGTTTTTCATAAATGTTGAATTTTGTCAAATGCTTTTTCTACATTTATTGATATGACATATGATTTTTATCCTTAATTTTGTTAATGTGGTATATAACATTGACTGATTTGCAGATGTTGAACCATCTTTGCAACTCTGTAATAAGTCCCACTTGATCATGGTATAACATATTTTTTATTATCCTCAGCTGAATATATAGTTTTATTGATTTTGAGAGAGAGAGAAAGGGGGAGAGAGAGGAAGAGAGAGAGAGAAGGAAACATCAATTGGTTGCCTGCTGTAAACTTTCTGACTTGGGATTGAACCCAAAACCTAGGTATGTGCCCTCACCAGGAACTGAACATGCAACCTTTTGGTATATGGGACAATGCTCCAACCAACTGAACAACTGACCAGGGATGGTATAACATCCTTTTAATGTATTGTTGAATTTAGTTTGCTAATATTTTTTGTTGTGGATTTTTGCATCTATGTTCATCAGGGATAGTGACCTGTAATTTTCTTTTCTGGTGACATCCTTGTCTGGTTTTTATATCAGGGTAATGCTGGCTTCATAAAGTGAGTTTAAAAGAGTTCCCTACTCTTCTCTTTTTTGTAAGAATTTGAAAAAGATTAGTATTAACTCTGTTTTTGAATGTTTGGTAGAATTCACCAAGGAAGCCATCTGGTCCTGGACTTTGTTTATTAGGAAGTTTTTGATTATTGATTCAATCTCCTTAGTATGAATCAATCTGGTCAGACTTTCTATTTCTTCATAATTCACTTACGGTAAATTGTATGTTTCTAGGAATTTATCCATTATTTATAGGTTGTCCAATTTGTTGACATATAATTGTTCCTACTAGTCTCTTATAATCCTTTATATTTTTGTGGTATCAGTTGTAATAGCTCCTTGCTTATTTTTTATTTTTTAATAATGCAGTTATAAATCTTATTCATTTATTCTCTTCCTCTCTGAAATAAATTATATGTATATATATATATATGACACTATCTAATAGTACACAATTGTTTGCTAT